ATGACTGAGATCAGGTGGAGCCAGCCGCTCCCCTGAGGGATGACTGATATCAGATGGAGCCAGCCGCTCCTGTGAGGGATGATTGAGATCGGGTGGAGCCAGCCGCTCCTGTGAGGGATGATCGAGATCAGGTGGAGCCAGTCGCTCCTGTGAGGGATGATTGAGATCAGGTAGAGCCAGCCGCTCCTGTAAGGGATGACTGAGATCGGGTGGAGCCAGCCACTCCTGTGAGGGATGACTGAGATCGGGTGGAGCCAGCCACTCCTGTGAGGGATGACTGAGATCAGATGGAGCCAGCCACTCCATGAGGGATGACTGAGATCAGGTGGAACCAGCTGCTCCCCTGAGGGATGACTAAGATCAGATGGAGCCAGCCGCTCCTGTGAGGGATGACTGAGATCAGGTGAGAGGCCGCTCTCCTGAGGGATAACTAAGATCGGGTGGAGCCAGCTGCTCCCCTGAGCGATGACCACAGTTCTGACTGAGATCGGGTGGAGCCAGCTGCTCCTGTGAGGGATGAGCACAGTTCTGACTGAGACCGGGCGGAGCCCTGCTGGGTAGGCGGCAAGCAGTGTCCTGTCAGTGGGCTCCGGGACTCATGGCTGAAGGGCAGGCAGTGCTCCTTGCTGGGGACTCCCTGGGCACACGTCTTTGGGACCTTGGCCTCACTCCCTGCTCCACCCCGCTTGCAGCCATCGTAGAGGGCGACAGCTTTGAGGAGATCTACCACAAAGTGAAGCGCGTCATTGAAGACCTCTCAGGCCCCTACATCTGGGTCCCAGCCCGAGAGAGACTCTGATCCCTGCCCTGGCTTGGCCTGGACTCACCCTGCCTCTATCACCTAGGCCCTTGGTCTGGACTGGATAGCCCAAGCCCCTCGCACCCCGGCCTCCCTGCCCACCCTTCTTATTTATTTCCTTTCTAACTGGATCCAGCCCACCGGAGGGGGAACAGTCCTCTGCATGTACCCTGCACCCCAGATCAGGGCTCCTGGACCCCAGGAACCTGCAGCCTGGGAGGGGGCTGGGCTCCTGGTTCCGAGCCCTTGCTCCCTAGGACCCCTACCCTACCTGCCCCCACGCACACACAGACCCACGGGGGCCTCTGCCCTCCCTGTTTTCTCCCCACACATTCCAGAAGTCAGGGCCCTCTCAAGGGATCCCCCGCTGTAGGGTTGCAGGGCCACAGGCTTCCGCGCTCCTGAGGCTGGGCTCGCCGGCCCGCCACTCCCCATGCCATTTCAGTTCTCATTATTTTCTCCATTTTTTTCTTCTCAAAGGTGGTTTTTGGGGGGAGAAGTTGGGGCTCTGCTGTGGCGCCCACTTTCACACGCCTCCACCTTTCTTTGCCGGTTTGCATGAGTCGAAGGTCTAATGTGGCTTTTTTCTTTTTTTTCCTGGGACTTTATTTTGTTTTATTTTATTTTATTTTTGGGAAAAGGGGAGGGATGGGTCTAGGGACTGGGGAATATGGGAGGGGGGTGGGGGGGTAAGGGGTCAGGGGTTGGGTGTCTGGGAGCCAGGGGAAGACAGGAAATGCTGCCGCCTTCTGCAATTTATTTATTTATATTTTCTTTTGAGAGAGTGAAAGGAAGAGACAGATACTTGAAACCCGGTGTGTGGCCTGCTTCTTTGGGGTGAGGGAGGGAAGCGGAGGACACAGGTGGGGGCCTGGGACCGGTGGGTCGGGGAACTTCAGATCCTTACCTCACAGAGAGGGGAGTGCCTGAGAGGGTCCTGGGAAGGAGTTGTCAAACTGGGGAGCAACACGAGGGCCATGGGCCTGAGAAGAGCTGGGGCTCAACTGGTCGCTGGCCAACCTAGTCCAGCCCTGACCACTGCCCTAGCTGGTCTCACCTCCGCTGGTGGCCCATTCTCTCCTGAAGAAAAATGCAGAACCGTCCTCCACCCACCGGGGCCGAAAATGACCTTTGTACAAAGCTGGAAAGAATGTACAGGTCTAAACACACAATTTAGGACTCGGCCTCATCCACCTGAAAGGGCTCAGAGCACGAGCCACGGTGGGGCAGAGGCCTCGGTGTCAGAGCAGTGAGCAGCCCAGGGGCAGCCTGGAAGCTGAGCGTGCCAGCGCCCCCCAGCCTCAGGAGGCACCCAGTACAGCGCCAGCCATAAAAAGATTAAAAAGTCCAGTTATGGAGGCTTCTGCGTGTAATCCCAGCGCTTGGGACACTCAGGGTTAACCCAGGCCAGCAGCCTGCGCATCATAAGGAAGCTACCTTAAAAGACAAAATGCAATAAGAACAAAAACTTAGTTTTTAGCGAATGTGATTTCTTGGTGTTCAGAGTTGAGAAACCGCAGGCGGACCTGTTAAGACAGGGCTGCCTAGAGGGAACATTTTTGTCATTACATTCTTGGAGCCATGCACAGAATGCTTATTTGTTTTTGTTTTCCGGGACAAGGCTTCTCCTTGGCTCTCCTGGACTCACTTTGTAGACCAGGCTGGGCTTGAACCCACAGAGAGATCCACCTGCCTCTGCCTTCAAAGTGCTGGGATTAAAAGCGTGAACCACCACCGCCTGACTTTATTATTTATTATTGTTGTTGTTGTTATTATTATTATTATTGAGTCAGGGTTTCTCTGTGTAGCCCTGGCTGTCCTGGAACTCACCCTATATACCACGCTGGCCTTGAACTCAGAAATTCGCCTGCCTCTGTCTCCCCAGTGCTAGTATTAAAGGCGTGTGCCACCCCTGCCTGGTATGAACAGAGTCTCTAGAGGAGTTTTCCGGATGAGGGGTGCTGTGTGAATAGTTGTTGGATTTCTTTGTGCTCCATCTTGCAGGAAAAAATATGAGGAGTCTTGGCAGATACTGGGGGTAAGAAAACAGATATGTGACCCCAAATCCAGAAGAAATGGAAATGAGCGTGCAATCCCAGAACTTGACAGACAGGCGGCTTGCTGACAGCCGCCGTGACTCTGTTCCCATGTCTTTCTGATTGCCAGGGATCCTTCAAGGAGAAGGCTGGGGTGGGACCCCTGGCACTCATTAAATCCTCAACAACTGCCAAGGGCAGTTTTCGTAGTCACCCTCAGCAGAGATGAGAGCGAAAGACCAACTGAGGGGAAGTGATTCCGGGGAAGACGTGTCATCCAGCAGCAAGGCAGAGGTCACTGGAGTGCGGCCACATGAACCGGTGACCCTGGCATGCCCGGGGCAATTATCACCCGGCACGTAGGACCCGGGGGCCTGACGTCCGGTTGGGTGCACAGGCGCTGTTTTAAGGGCGGCTTTCAGATAATCCCCTCAGCTGGGTTCTGTAGGGTGAGGCCAGGCCAAAGGGAGGAATCAAGGCGTTGAGGAAGGTGTGCTAAGGCAGTGGGTCTGGGTCCAAGGCCCTGAGGAGACCTTACCTGGAAGGGGTAGATCTCCCAGGGTTTGGGTTTGGGTTTTGGTTGTTAAGTTTCCCAGGCTGTTTCCAACTTGACACCCTGCTATAGCCTCTGAGTGCCGGGACTGTGCCCCACCACCCAGGCTCAAATTCTGCGTTATCATTACTGCCTTTAATTAAAAAACAAACAAACAAACAAACAAACAAACAAAACCCATCAAATCTGTGTGTGTGTGTCTATGCCTGTGGATGCCCCAGGAGACCAGAAGAGAGTAGCTCGTCCCCTGGATCAGGACTCACAGACGCTACCCCA